TGTGCCAAACCAACAAGTGGCCCCAGAGCTTGTGTTGAGTCAGCTCCTCAAGAATAAGCATCAAGCTCTTTGGCTTATCCTCTTGGGGTCAGTTCTCAGAGACAAAGAGTGTGTGACACAGTACAGGCAGGGTGAGACAGCAAAAGCTGTGAGTGTTGCCACCTCACCACTTCATAGGAAAGATCAATAAAGCAATGTCAAATAGTTCTCACCAAATTATTCTACATAGCTCCTTTTTGCCTGTTTTGCAGTTTCACTTGTTTCCCCTGACATTTTACTTCTTACTAAAACATTTAAAGTGCTATTCCTTTAACTGTTTTGAATGTGTATTAGTGTAAATGGAGAGAGCAGAAAGGAGAAATGTGGAATATGGATTCGACCCTGTTTACAGTGACACCACTTACTCCAGAGGAGCTGCAGAAATCCCATTCAGGAATGAGAATCTGTCAGCATGAATCATGCGCGCCACAAAACTTCAATCCTTTATGGAAGAGTGGCAGGTTAAAATGTACATGAATACTGCAAATCACTTTGAACAACTATATGTTGGTCTGTCATATAGGATCAAAATAAAATGCATTAAAATTTATGGTTGTAATGCAATAAAATGTGAAAAGGTTTTCAAGGTTTATGTGTTCACTTAGCTGAAGTTATGCAGGTAGTTATCTCATATTGTGTTAGTCTATAGTTATTTTATTACCTGAAGATAATAACCTGGATCATAATTTGATGATCTTAAATCCTTATTTCTTTATTAAAAAAATCTATTAATCGAAAAATGCTTGTCACTGGCAATAGACATTTGATAATGGCAGTGAAAGGGTGTTTGAAGGCAACATTTTACTGTTGATTTGAATGATTTGAGTTGCTTGTAATTTGAAATGATATAAAAGGACTCAACAACTGAAAACCAGATGATAAATCAGAGTTAGGGTTGACATCCACTGCATGCTGACGTCACAGGATTAAAAGTCAAGGTTTGAACTATTTACATCTGATAGAAGCACGTACTTCTGCAAATGTGATTTTTAAACGTGCAGCTGAAGTAAGATAGTTTAAAACTAAAGCTCTGATTAACAATATTTATAGTAACTTTGGTATATTTTGAAATAAAACTTATCTAACGCAAGACTTGCTTTTGATATTACTTTATTTTGGGGATGATGTGATATCTACATAAAAGAACGATGGGCACGTAAATCACACACAAAATCCCAGAAAGGAAAATTCTTTCATTTTGTTGATGGAATGACAGTAAGCTCTGCTTAAGCCTCTGTGCACTAAGCACCAACTATTAAAAAAATCTCTGAAGTGAAACTTCAGACATTTCATGATGGATTTCCGAAGACAGAGAGACATTCATTGAGTGGTGAAGCTCTGAATTTCAACCATAAGTAGAGGCTTTGATAGCGAGGAGCCATTGTTGTAGAGATCCCATCAGACTGAGAATGGATAAGCTGCTTTGGGGCAAAACTATTCTCAGAACTGCCCCAAAAAAGAAGGAATCAATTTTTTCCCTTGCAGGAGGAGATTTAAATTATTAGATGATAAGAAGAAATGATCCAGGTAGAGTTAAACAATATGAATAGTTGTCTTTGTGCCTTTCCCCCACAGGTCTTTGCATTTCTGTGTTAACACTTGTCCTTTTAGTCCTTCAAAAACTGCTCTGCTTATATGCTTATATGCTACCTTCTGAAATTGGAATGTCTTTTGTGGTGAAATTTCAATGCAATTTATGTCAAAACCTGTAAAATGTTCCCATTTTGCCCTACAAGGAGTGGTTCACACAGTGTTGTACAGGAATACACTGATGGTTTCAATTAGCAGAAGGCCTACCTTGTGTGATATCGCACACACTGTGTTATCACACGTTTTTAAATTTAGTCGTTTCACCAGCTGAATTTCAGTCGATACTTGCAGGTTCATGGAACTTCATGGCATTGTAACGTAATGCTGACACTGACTGAACACCATGAGTCATTTTGCTTAGGTATTATGTTTTTATCAATAGACACTGAAATTTGATAAAGGCATGTTGATGTGGATTAGAAAGAATTAGCTGTACATGTTGCAGATTACAGACCACACCCATCCACGAATAGCTAAGTCAGCAAATGCTTCAGACCCCCATCACTCCCACCCGCAAAAAATGTGTGCAAGCCCAGTTTAACAATTCAAACATGAAAAATACTCCAATTTTCATTAATATGCACAGTGGAAGCTGTCTTAGAACACCCACATAAGTTAGTGTTTACAGTTTTTCTTATCTCCGCTCTTGGGGGTACAACCAATCACCGTCAAGGAAAATGAATGCTGCTCCAGGATTGGTTGCTTTGCAGAACCAGCCAAAAGCATGTGAAGTAGAATTGCTAAATATTTCACCCTCCCAAGCTGCATTTTCTTTCCAATATTTCAAATATGCTTCATGAAAAAATCTGTAATGGATGGATGCATCTATCCATCATCTCTCCATCCATCCCTCCTTTCCCCCCTCCCTCCCTCCCTCCCTCCCTCCCTCTGTCCCTCCCTCCCTCCATCCATCCATCCATCCGTCCATAGATGTGATTTACAGATGATGGAAATGAAGGGTACAATAATGAAATAATCCACATACTCTCAGCCCTTTGCAAGACACTTTAGTCTCCCTTTTACCAGCCATGTTTATTTTAACTTGCAGGTCAGAGTGAGCTGAACCTTAAATGTTGCAGGAGCTTTTACATTTTACAGCCAGACAGAAGTGTGGCTCTACCGTCCCTCTGCTGCTCCCCATTTCATCCCAAGCCTTTATCGCTCTCCCTTTCTCAGTTCACTCTCTCACCATCTACCTGTGTGTCCCTCCAGCTTTTCATCTGCACTCTTCCTCTTTCACCTCCTTCACCCCACTGCCGCCTTTTTAATTCTCTCGCCTCTCTGCTCTTTAAAGGATCCTTCAACACTGCCCCCTTTTCTCTGTGCCCTTTGTCTGAGTGGCCCTATTGCGTTGTCTCTGTACAACGGCGTGCCGTCTGTTAGCGCTGCTCCGACATCATGGCTGCAGCGTTCTGGCTATAAATAACTCAGTCTCACAGTGTTCAGTCCAAGACAAGACCGAGAGCCAGAGGGAGAGCAATCTGCTGTCTCCCTCAAGTTATGCTGGAAGGTGCAAATGAGACAGTTGACACTGTGCAACCTTCACGACCAAGACCTTTGTCTTTTGTGGTGCACAAAATGCTTCTGAATTTAGTCATTCTACTCAGACTAGTTGCAATACAACAATTTTTATGAGAGTTTTTATGAAAAGTTTCTTTTTTTTTAAAGTATAAACTTGTTAACCATTTGTGTCATTCGAGCATCTGCAACCTGGTCTATTGCTGTTTCTTTACAGCTGCTTGATTCTCTGCTGTTCCACATAAAGTTTATTTTAATATGACCAGATGGTTAATAAAGTTCTCCAAGAAAAATTTACTTTTTCTACAATGCACATGATGTTTCTTTAACAAAAGATAAAAAGTGAAATAAATTGATTGGAAAGCACATGCAAAAATGTGTGCATTTTTCTGTTTTTGTCTGAAATTGTATTGATGGAATTGTATTTGATGTGATGGAAAATCTGTCCTGCCTGCACCTCACCTCTAAACATGTGACTGCTGGGATAAGCTGCATCCTGACACAAGCTTGAACATGAGCAACCTGCTTTGGAAAGACAATGATTTGGCCAAAATTTCCAATTAAATATGAAATTAATTTAAGACAGGATAATTCACAAGTCTTTTGTTTTATTCTTTTTTTTTTAAATAATCTGACATTCATCAGAAACTGAGCTGACCTCATCAGAAACTGAGCTGACCTCTTTCAAGTTATTTTCCATCTATGAGTGACGTACAAAACAAAGTCACACAGTGACGTACAAAACAAAGGTACCTACTGAGTTAAAATTGGTACCTAATTAAAGAGATAATAAAGCCTGTGCAATTCCAGCAAAAATAAACATCTACCTCAATTAAGTCTATCAATAAATACCTGTAACTAACAACTGAAAGGAAACAACTAAGCATCAGGTGAGTTATATAGTCGTGCAGAAGAACTGGTGTTATCAAGGCTGTTGATTGTGTCTATGATATCAAGGATAGAAAATCACAAATTGTAAATGTCCTACATTATGAAATTTGTTGCATTTTACACAACAATCAGTCATTCATCCATTCATACACACATTCACTGATGGTGGTAAGCTACAGCTGCCTCTGGGGCAGACTGACAGAAGCAAAGCTGCTGCACATTCTGAGCCTCTGGGCCCTTTGACCATCACCAGTGAGCAACGCGGGGGGAGTCTTTCCCAACGACAGAGCGAAGGTTCAAACAGGCAACCCACTCGTTACAGGAAGCCAGTTATAGCCCTCCGTCACTTAATTCTGAGGGTTTCTTTTTTTTTTCTTTGCTTTGTTTTCAAACCTGCTCTCGGTTTGGGCATGGGAACTTGTAGACAGATGCTACTACATCGAGCCTTGATGCCTTAAGCTCGCTGTCACCCAAAATAACATCACTGCTTTGTCCTCTCAGGGTTTTGTTGACAAAGAAGCTGGAAAGGATTCCTTGTGATGTTTCAGTGGTAATCGTTTTTAGACTAGGGACAGTCTTCTTTTTCAGTGTAGCATGAGGCGGATTGAGATTTTCTAGTCTTGGACATATGGGATATATAGCACCGCACATATTGCGATTGCACAGTCCATTAGCTTTCATTCTGTTTCTTTGCCTCTCTGACAGAGATGACAAGCCTCCCGTCCTTTTTTGGCTAACATCCTGTACTTTAAACCTTATGTGAATCGTTCTACACTTAAAAAGAAAAAAGTAATCTCCTTCAAAGTATGTGTTCTTTTGGAAGTTACAGTTTCCCTGAAAAAAGCTTAATGTAACTTGAAGAAACTGGCTTTTCATCAGCCTCCCTGTAGATTTGCTCATTTTTTGTCTATTTTATTGCAGTACAGTCTAAAAGGATCTTGTATATGTCTTGTTTCTCTCAGGTGACAGTAACCCCAAAGAGAGCAGCCCCTTCATCAACAGCAGTGAAGCTGCCGCTGAAAAGAGCCAGCAATATGATGGCAAGAACATGGCCTTGTTTGAGGTAAAATCTACTCTGTGCAGACACACTAATACACCCTGAAGTGTAACAGCATGTTCAGCATTGAATCTTGGATGCAGGGTTAACTCATTCGCACTATTTAGTTTTTGAAAAGGGCCTCTGACATCGATTAATGAGGGTAGTTACTGTGTGAAGGGCATATGGGCCCCTTGTGTTAATATAAGTGACTCTTACACCACTACCAGAAGCAGCCTAAACAATGCAATTTACCACAGCCTTGCAGAAATGTATTTACAATCTGCTCTCAATGGGATTCTGGATCTAATAAGGAATGTGGTGTGAGTTCTTTCTCTTGCTCTTTGAAAGATGACTCAAGAATCAATCAAGTCAGCAGTTAAATACCATTGATAGAATCTTCACACCACTGCTAACTAATGGTATCCATGTTGGTGTCTCTACAGGAGGAGATGGACACCAGTCCTATGGTGTCATCTCTTCTCAGCAGCCTGGCCAACTATTCCAACCTTCCCCAAGGCTGCAAGGAACACGAGGAGGCTGAGAACAATGAGGCAGAGTCAGCACGCAAGAAACCCGTCAAGGTACCCTCCATAAATGTGATCTTAGACTGCAGACATTCAGCAAATGGTGGAGATTAAACATCAATCCTATTAGTACTTTAGTCAATCAGAAAATATCTCTCTGTCACTGGGTCTTCAGTAACTGATCTTTTGACTGATTAGATGTTGATCCTCCATGGATTGAGATAGAAGCATCTGTTGCCATGTGGTTCAGTTTGACCACTTCAATTTAAGTTGCTCGATAAGTTAATTTGAGTTTTGATAAGAAGGTGTCTGAACCAAATGTGAAGTTTGTGGTATTGGAAGCTGGATTGCCATATGTTGAAAATAGCAATTATGGGTTCAGGGGTATCAGAATTTGACCAAGGAGCAACAGAACCAGGTAACCTCATCTGATAATTCACAAATTGTTTACCATCATAAAGATGGTCAGATGTGGATAAGTCACTTACTTGGGAAACACATGCCACTGGGATGCAGCAGAAAAAGAATGCAAACCTGTGAGGCAGTGTGATACTTTGGGAAATATTCTTCTTGGAACCTTTGGGTCCTGTGGATGTTTCTTTGACATGTGCTAACAACATGAGCATTGTTGAAGGTCATGTTCGTTGGTGGTGAAGATTCATAAGTGCTTCAACAGAAGGTAACTTGACTTCTAATCTTTTTTGACCTTATACCTTCCATCTAAAAAGGTGTCTTTATTTCTTAGAATGGGTTAAGAATGTTTTTTTTAACCTGTGTAGAAAAAGGTTGTTTTTCAATACAATGTCTGATCTCATTAGCTCAGCACGTTCTGGTCTCATATCTTCCCCTGATAATCTGTGGACTTGGGCCACCGTTAAGTCTAGAAGAAGACTAAAAGGTTGTGCTTATGAAACCAAAAATAACCTTCATCCATTGCAGTGCTATTCAGTTTTGAGCCTCATTTCGCCACAGCTGTCACTTGAGACCTTGCAGACGCTGCCCTTCACTGCTTCCCTATGATCCTATTGTGATCAGTTTATGGGTGATCTGAACCACATCTGCTGGAGCTTTTTCCACCAATGCTGGAGCAATTTCTGAGATGTCAAGTGATCCTAACAAGGCTACTGTCAGAGTTTTTTTTTCCTTCTAGTGCATTCATTTCAAGGGCAGTGAGTTCTCTTTCTCCCTAATATATCCTGTCCATTACCAGGAGCCATGATAATGAGAAAATCAATGTTTTTTTCACTGAATTTGTCTCTGGTCAGAATGTTATGGCCATGTAATGCATAATCAGTAAAAACAAGAAATCATTGTTAGTGTGTTGCAGTGAAAACTGTGATACAGGAATGTGCACTAAAAAGATTTTCTGGAATTCCCATTTACTTTTTTAACCTCGGACACATTTTAAAAAATCATCTTGCTGTTGCTCACTGCTTATTCTGAAGCTTATCAATAAAATAAAATGTTGCTGCATTGCCACCGTGATGAAGCATAGACTAACGATGCTATTATCTGCAATACAGATAATACAATTTCAATGATAGTTTAAGCTGTCTGCACAAAAGGCCAGGCTTTTATTATGAAAAATTATGTCTCATAAAACAAATTACTAAAATCAACTTACACCGATCGACGTCTTTACTCAATATGAGTTTGTATGCATCAATACATCACTTTCCAGTGTGCTCAATAAATAAAATTACCTCCTCAGTCAAGAAAACTTTTTTTTGTTTGTTTTTCCTGGATGGTGATTATGGATTGCTAAATATAGATTCGTTCTCTAAATAAGTTGTCTTTATGAATCCCTATTATAACAGTTTTCTAATACTTTTTGAAATACATTAACATTTCACTGGAGATCTGCCAAAAGTGGTCAATCATTCTCTGTTATTAAAGATCCCTGTTTATGTTACTGAATTGCATCTTAAATGCCAATAGCTTATTAGTTTCTCTCACACCCTCCCTTGGTATTTTCCGCTGCTGGTGGTTGATGCTTGTCAGTAGAATGGAGTTCAACTTTCACAAATTTCCCTAGCTCTTGATTGACACGGGTGCAGCTATACTATCAGTCCTGTGGGAAATTATGATTTTTGCCTCTCAGCAGCTTGTTATTTTGCATAGCTGAAATGATAAAAGATAATGCAGATAATGAAGGATATAAAAATAACTGGGACAGACTGGCAGACAGTGACTTTCGGAAGTTTCTTTCTTCAGCCAACTCATGTGATGTAAGATGACGTTAAGGCATTGAAAAGTCATAGCAGTGAAAGACTGACAGCTTTTTTATGACCTTTGACACATCTGTCATTCCAGGTGTCCAATCAGCTGGAGATTCTCTATCACTTTTTGCTTTTGCCCATATTTGTTCCTGTCACTTTTCCCCTTCTTTCTGTTCCGAGTTGATTCACTTTGACACAGGTGTTCATTTTAGCATTTTCACCTTGGAGTAAATCAATGTTGTTGACCTAGGAGATCAGAGTTCCCACATTATCAGATACTCCCTCCAGATGAGTCCAGCAGATACAGCAGGCCTTTGAAAACAGCAAGAGTGAAATAACTTCTACAGATTATTGAACTCAGGAGTAAATTGTTGGTTTCCTAATTATTCACATGTAAAGAGGGATAACAGAAATAGACCATAAAAATGTTCTGGATATTTGTGTAATCAGTGGATGGCATGGATGGTTTATTCATATTTTTACTGCGGTGACATTATTTAATTATGTTTTAATTACCTTCACACATTAATAATATTGTTGTCTCATGTATTCACACCTTTACAAACAATTGCACCAAGACACATTTCCCCTGTGTCTTAAGACCTGAAGAGGAGTGATTATTCTGATGCAATGACTGGTACTATTGAGAGATGTGACTGGAACCTGTTTTTTCCAAGTCCTATTGTAAACATAAACTATGTAGTCCTACACTCCTCCTATGGCTTAAAAATATAACTCAATGCAGTCCTTTCAGTTAAGTAACAGCTCTTGAAAGTGCTTGAATACATAAAAACAAAATTATGTGAATGGCTAGGCACACCGGAAAGAATACTGTAATACGACATTTGTTTTATTGAATCAAAACACTGAATGAAACAGTAATGTATTTTATGTTCTTTCAATCATGAAAACTTAGTTTGTTTATGAAAAAATGTTCAAAATATTAAAGAATTACTGGGTCATAAGTCATTAACAAAAAAATGCACTCCAGTTTTAACAGAATTTAGTTTAAACCTTTTTATTTAATATTGTATCTTAAAATCTATTGCAGATTTAGCACCCTTTATATTTAAGTTATATTGAAGTTACTTTTGTTTGTTTGTTTTCACAATAATTTTTATTATACAATCTTATATTCAGTTTATATATCTAATTCACACAGTGCGCCATAGACACTAACGATCCATTTCTGCTTTATGAAATGCTCTCAGGAAAAGAGCTAATGGTCGGAGCTGTTTACACTTAAGTCCATAGAAACAGCATTTGTGTAAACCTACATTTTAGATGGACAGTTTTTCAAACTGTGCATCTGCCTTTTTATAATCTGATTATGAGAGTGTTGCAGATAAACATAATAGTGGAAACATTTAAGCTATTTCCTATGAATTCCATGTTGTTTTACCCCTTCATGATGAATGTAAAGCATACTTGTCCAGATATCCTTAGCTCAGGTTGCACTGTGAGTAGCTCTAATCTCCCCCCTGTCACCTCAGCCCCTTCAACACATTAATTAGTCTGCATTTTGAACCATGCTGAGGCTTCTCCCATCAGCAGCCCATTCCAGAGGCAATCTCTCCATCGCCACGAGAGGCTTTTCATTAAGGCAGCCTGAGGCGCTTTATCACTCACACAGCGACTCCTCTCGTTCTCCTCCGTCACCTTCCCTCTTTCTATCTCACTCGGCTCACCCCTCCTCATTCTCCATCTCCTTCATCATTGCACCCTCGAGTGAGCGAGGCGGAGGGAAGCCGAGGCAGCGGCCTTTCTTTGGCGCAGTGTGAAAAGCCAAGATTAAAGAACTGGTTGGTGTGTGACATGACAGTGCAGGCTGGAGGTCACACAGGTCATAGTTGATCCCCAGAAAATTTTTCTTCTAAATCTCATATGTAATGTACAACGTACATTTGATTCTATAGGCAATGTGGAATATTTCCAGCAGAATTGCATTTAAAGAAACACAAAGATTTTTCATATTTTTACAAAAGTGTGAGATCTGATTGAAAACGCATAAGTAAGAACGGTTTCATTTCCTGGTATTGACTAAAGTTGGGTGGGTGAAAATAAGTGTTTAGCCACGTCATCATCATTATGATTTCATACAGTTTTCTCTTTCAAAACCCATTTTTTCCTATTTTGCTAATTAATTTAAACCCCACTGAGCTGTTTCAGATCTTTATATTACAATCACGACTGTAATTTTTAAATGTTTTTATAAAACTTTCCTTCAGAAATGATGTGACACATTTACTCTGTGAGATGTTCAACAATGTTCAGCAGACCTCAGAAAACTTCACAAAACAGCAGTTATGAAATTATTGGATAACTGACAAGTGTACAGTATGTTTTGGTTAGGTGACTCTTAAATCAATTCATTGTGCTGGACTTTTTTATATATATATTTTTTAGATAAATCAGATCAAAGAGGGTTGAATAAAACACCATGAAATGGAAGCCAATTATAATACAGTGGATATGCAAGAAAATCTCGAAGAATTTTGATCTGAAGTCTGGACAAGTAAAATCCAAACGACATGCGTGAAGCATCTACTTGGTGTATGTCGACTGTTCAGTCCAATAGATATATTGTATGTAAGATTTTGCGACCAACTGAAAGGTTTCTGATGGCTGCAACAGCAATCTTTGCACAACACATCTCCTACAAATTTTTTCACAACCATTATGTCGTTATATATGGTTCTCTGTCACAACTGTTATGTGCCTACTTCATGTGAATTTCATTCGAGACTCAACAGACTGAACATCTCACGTTGTCGTTAAATGCTGAAAACTGTTAATTTATACAGTATGAAATATGAGCCACGAGTAGGCCAAATCTAA